TCCAAAATGAGAATATAAAATTTCAACTTTTATTTTCAAACTCTGGTATTGGCGGTAGTGAGATTTCAAAATCCAAAATAAAAAATTTCAACTTTTATTTTCAAACAGTGGTATTGGCGGTAGTGAGATTTCAAATTCCAAAATGAGAATATAAAATTTCAACTTTTATTTTCAAACTCTGGTATTGGCGGTAGTGAGATTTCAAAATCCAAAATAAAAAATTTCAACTTTTATTTTCAAACTGTGGTATTGGCGGTAGCGAGATTTCAAAAGCCTAGTTTCTTATATTTTGATTTCAATTTTTTAATCACAATTTAATCTATATGAAATAAATTGTTAGTTTGTTCCCATGTATACTTGTTCAATAGTAAATCAACAATTCAAGATATGCACGCTCTCACGCAAAGATCGAACTGTATTCTGTCTAAATTACTTCTTTTAAACTTGAGATAAAAACAAGCGTGTTGCAGTTTGAAAATGTATATGCATACTGCATGCTGCATAGGTCTACATAAAGTAAACGTGAGTTGGTCAAGTAAAACCAAAAGCCATGGCGTTTCGACACTTTAAAGTTAAATCTATCTAAAAATTTGATGAAAAACTATCAGATTTGTCAGATCTTAGTGGTGAACCTTGTGAATAAACTGTGCTCTGCAGTGCGCTTCTAACAGCTGACTTGTTCTCATGTTCCCAACTCGGAACATCAGGTAGAAATCTCCGTTCCTTAGAGTTATAACTGCGTTCCTGGATAATTTAAATGTTTGATTTTCATTGAACGACAAATATAAATAAAGGAGGTGTAAGCGTAATTTCAAGTGACCTTCCATGCAAGGATGGCAATTTGCCCGATTTACAATGGTATCCTTGAAACCTTAATCTGATCAAAAATGTGGAAGAAACTGACTTTTTTCTCCGTTGCTTCTTGTACACAAGGAATGCGCAAGTCAATTTCGCATGAGAAACCGCAAATGAAAATTAACAGTTTAACGAAACAAAAACATTGATATCTAGTTCATATTTAATCGAAAAAATTTTTCAAGGGTTATACCGTTGTAAATCCGACATTGACATCTTTACATGCAGGGTCACTAAAAATAACGCTTAACAGACCCTTTAAGTTTAATATTTATCGTACCATTATTAGAGTTTACATGCTCAATTAGCTGATCGTTATTAAAATGTTCCCTGCACACTTATATCTTCTTCTTCATTTCTAAGCTTTTTAGAAATTTATTAAGTTTATAAATCAATCTTACTAAATGTTTCAAACTGAAAAACAATAAATCTGACTTTTGTTTTTAATTTAATTGTTTTTCAGTTTTTTTACCTGGAGAACATGACAGTGTTAGATCTTTGCTTTGGTCGAGCTAGCTTGGCAAATACAATTCCTGCCATACATGCCTAAATGTAAATACATTAAACCCACCTATAGTGGACATGAGTCAGACTCTAAATAACAACGCCCAGTATATATATATTTCTTATAACTTGCTAGAGGGTTCAGAACTAGAGTCAATATTGAAATCACACGTGGAGATGTTTTATCAGTACTATGCCTCGTATCCGTTCTATCTCATTCTGTTGGATCTTGTGGAACTAGTTTAACGCGGCCAGGCATCGTCTTCCACACACCCTTGTTTTAGAAGAAGTATACATTTTCGTTTTCAGATTAGCATTGGTTTAAGGATTCATCTCTAATTAGATGATGAGATACATGATTTTATAGTAAAACATTTAACATCGAAAACTACTAGTCACGGGATTTACAAAATGTGGTCTACCTTTTTTTTTACTTTCAAAATTCACGGAAATATTAGGAAATTTGTCCAGATTCCAAATTATTAAAAATCAATAAACGGTTCAAATGTTTTATAACTCCGCCAATTTTAAAAGTAAACAATAACACAAATGATAAACAGACATCTGGCATCTCTGGTGCGTTAAATGAAGATTCACCTTATACTAACTCATGTTTGTTTTCATTAGATCGGCTGCCTTTGTTATTGTTGTTAAGCAAAAACTAGATGAAACTCGGTAGTTACGTTCAACGATACTCTTTTAAATTTCGGGCTCTGGTGTATGCAGATAACATACACACTGCAACCTAGACAGAATGAGAAGGACGAATTTATGCTCTATTACTGGTCAGACTTTGTGACCTCGTAGCTCCTTCATAGTTTTATTTTACGCACAAGCAAATTTATCCTGTTACTGTGAGAAATTTAACGTATTTTTGATTTTCTCAATAGGTCTTTATTAAAAGGAGTTATGATTGAAAACATATAAATAAAATTTCAATCTGACATGAAATCTACCTTAGCTCGACGTGTACAAGGATGTAATGAAAGGAAAGTTATTTCAGAAGTGTATGCATCTTTTGNCTAACCTGAATAATGACACAGATCTAACCTGAATAATGACACAGATCTAACCTGAATAATGACACAGATCTAACCTGAATAATGACACAGATCTAACCTGAATAATGACACAGATCTAACCTGAATAATGACACAGATCTAACCTGAATAATGACACAGATCTAACCTGAATAATGACCCCCAGAATAGATTGGAAGGATTCACATATGATTGCCGCCTCACATAGGTCTGATGTTCCTCGTGACCCATATCTTGAAAAAAACTTTTTTTTCTTTATTTTTTTTTTAATTTTGAAAATGTCAGATGTTTCATTCTTATTTACCTTTTTCATATTTTCCCAATAAAGAAAAAAACTATTTTTACGATTGCAAAACTTTTTTTGAAGAATCTAATTAAGCAGTAAATAATGATTTTAATTTTTAAATTAATATTTTTTATTCATGATACATAAAATTACTTCTTTTTTTTATAGAGTAACAACAAGCATTAGGGTTTATGTAAGTATTAATAAAAAACTATATGAAGTGTCCTGCGTTGCCCGTTTAATAAAAAAAAATGTATTTTGAAGAGAAAAAAATGTTCTTTATTTTTCTCAAAAAATTCAGCGAATTTGGTTCAGCCGTTCAGTCAGCTAAAGCTAACATAAATATAAATACAAAATTATATTTTTTTCAAATTCGAAATTTTTTTTTTCTTCAAATTTTCAAATCTGTTTCTTCAAAATTTAAAATTTTTCTAAAATTCCTGTTACCCAATAGTGTGCTGGGTTTCCACACTGAATAAGAAAGCGGAGGCGAAGTTTGAGATTTCATAAACACATGGAACCCAACCCGAGTCACCCTAGAATATTTTTATTATGTTCATTATATTTATAATGTTCATCTTCATCATGTTCATCATGTCAATCATGCTGGTCATATATGTTAATCAAGCTCATCATGTTCATCATGTTCATAATGTTCATAATGTTCATAATGTTCATAATGTTCATCATGTTCATCATGTTCATAATGTGCATAATGTTCATAATGTTCATAATGTTCATACCGTCAGAACTGACGATGTGGAACTAAAATCCATTTTTTTCTACAGAGGTTTGGTCCATCATTATTACCGAATTTTAAATCATATTTATCATGTTCTCATGTTCATAACGTTAATCATGTAATAATAATGTTCATTATTTTAATGATGTACATCATGTTCATCATATCATATTCATCATGTTTATTATGTTCATTATGTTCATTAAGTTCATCAAGTGTCATGTTTATCATTTTCATCATGTTCATCACGTTCACCTAGTTTATCATTTTTATCATGTTCATAATGTACATCATGTTCATCATATTTACCATGTTCATAATGTTCATAATGTTCATAATGTTCATAATGTTCATAATGTTCATGATGTTCATAATGTTCATAATGTTTATCATGTTCATCATATTCATCATGTTCATCATGTTCATAGAGATTTCATAAACACATGGAACCCAACCCGAGTCACCCTAGAATATTTTTATTATGTTCATTATATTTATAATGTTCATCATGTTCATCATGTTCATCATGTCAATCATGCTGGTCATATATGTTAATCAAGCTGATCATGTTCATCATGTTCATCATGTTCATTATGTTCATCATGCTCATCATGTTCATCATGTTCATCATGTTCATAATGTTCATAATGTTCATCATGTTCATCATATTCATAATGTTCATAATGTTCATAAAGTTCATCATGTTCATCATGTTCATTATGTTCATCATGTTAATCATGTTCATCATGTTCATAATGTTCATAATGTTCATCATGTTCACACCGTTAGAACTGACGATGTGGAACTGAAATCCATTTTTTTCTCTACAGATGTTTGGTCCATCATTATTACCGAATTTTAAATCATATTTATCATGTTCTCATGTTCATAACGTTAATCATGTAATAATAATGTTCATTATGTTAATGATGTTCATCATATCATATTCATCATGTTTATTATGTTCATTATGTTCATTAAGTTCATCAAGTGTATCTTGTTTATCATGTTCATCATGTTCATCACGTTCACCTAGTTTATCATTTTTATCATGTTCATAATGTACATCATGTTCATCATATTCACCATGTTCATCATTTTCATAATGTTCATAATGTTCATAATGTTCATGATGTTCATAATGTTCATAATGTTTATCATGTTCATCATATTCATCATGTTCATCATGTTCATCATGTTCATCATGTTCATAATGTTCATCTTGTTCATAATGTTCATAACGTTGATCATATACATAATGTGCATCATGTTCATAATGTTCATCATGTTTACAATGTTCATCATGTTCATCATTTTCATCATTTTCATCATTTTCATCATGTTGATTATAGTTTATCATTGACTTCATAATCATAAATGATCATGTCTTTTGTTGTTTTCATTATTTTAATTTTTTTTTCATTATTTGAGTCAAAAGCAGAACGGCGTGGTTATCCGGTCCATCTTATTTCAGTTTTGTCTACTTAGTATTCCTCATATTTAACTCTGCAGAGTGCACACTTTTACAGAGTTTATAATAACCTGATTTTGTGGTAGATTATCAGGTTCCAAATCACCGTGGATAAGAGCTATTAAATACCAAATTACAGCAAAAATCAACCTGGAAATAAAAAGTTAAATTATCAGCAAAGGAATTGACCATTGCCTTTGCTGTAAACGCAATTTTTTTTCCTTTATCTTTGCAACCTGATACTTTAATTCAATTTAATTCAAACTTGGATGATTTGATTTAACAGAATTGGGTTGCAAATCAGAGTTTTTGGGAAAGTCTCAATTTTTTTCCATTCATTTTTATTCTAAATAAAAAATACTGTTAAATAAAAGATTTTTTTTCATCAATTCCATACCATGATACAAAAAAGCTTAACGTGAAGACCAGCAGGGTCCATCTCCATTTCATATCCACGCATGTTGTAAATACATCCTAAATTAAATAAAAACTAATAATAATTTTATATCCACGCATGCTGTAACTAAATACATCCTAAATTAAATCAAATACAATAATAATTTTATATCCACGCATGTTGTAACTAATTACATCCTAAATTAAATAAAATACAATAATAATTTTATATCCATACATGTTGTAAATATATCCTAAATTAAATAAAATACAATAATAATTTCATATCCACGAATGCTGTAAATACATCCTAAATTCAATAAAAAAAACAATAATAATTGTGGCTTTATCTCTGAGCAACTTCTCTTTGTACAGTATAAAACAAAAGCAAAAAAAGTTTTAAAATAATTTTACAATAATAAATAACTTTTAAACAAAATTTTTTAAGGTTTCAATCATTCATAACAATTGTGCAGCGTAGACAGACCATTTCACTTAATATGTGATTCTATGACTTACCAGGCAAGCTATTTATTTTGTAACAACATACAATGCACTTGAGTCGTTATGCTTACAAGAATCGTCTTACTTTTATGAATTGTCGTCTTTTCCTAGACACCCTGTAGAGTTGAACATTTATATCTCCAGTCTTAGATATAATCCTTCTTCTACCCACTACACCAGATTTCTAAAGAGGATGTAAAGTTTAATTTCGGCTAAAATAAAAATTTTTAAATAGTTTAAATCCCTGCTGGGGTACTTGAAAACCAGGATATGCTGGGGAAGGGGGTCAATTTGAAAATGTTATTTAAAGGAATTGAGCCTGAGCCAAAAACATTGATTTGCTAATACCATATCTTTGCAGCCCAATTTCGTGGACCTTATTTCAATTTATAATTATAAAAGATTTATACCTTCAGTTTGCAAAGATATAGTTATTTTAAAGCTTAATTTTTTGGCGAAGACTCAATTCTTTTATAACTCTTTAGAGAATCTACATGTTCGATTTGCCGTAGTACCCTAGAGAAGCTTGTTTGAGCAAAATTGAATTAGGAAAACGTTGTGAACAAGTTATAGGGTTTCCACGAAACAGTAGATTCTCTTGCGCACAGTTTCGCGTTTTTTGCACGAAATGAATTTTGTTGCACGAAATTGCGTATTCATTCGAAATCAATATTTTTTGGCACGAAATTGCGGATTAATACACAAAAAAAAAATCATGATTTTTCATGAATACGAAATATTTGTTTCATGACAAATATAAAAAATTTAAATATTTGGATAGTATGATGTGAATTAGTCTCAGTAAAAAAGTTGGTTACCTTCTTTAATGAAAATTTGTAATGATGAATATACTTCAGAGCCGGAGTATAGTGTGGCTCTGATTGGTTTAATTTAGGATTTATTCATTTCCTGGATTTTTTTCTCGAAATTTAACTGAATAGCTCGAGAATAACGAAATGCGCAACTACCAAGATTTTCTTAAAAATTTGCGTGAAATAGCTTTTGCGCATCAATGCGAAATTTACAATTTGCTCAACTGCTAAAATCGTACTTTTTTATTTAACTTTTAAAGATTTTTTTTTGCTCTCAACCACTGGAAAACATTTTTTCTTGAAAAACGTTTTTGCTTTTAAAAGCTGGATTTAAGATTTTAAACAACGTTTTTGCTTTCAACCACTGGGTTTAAGATTTTGAACAACTTTTTTCTTTCACCCACTGGATTCATAAGCAAAAAAGTTGCTGACAAATCTTAAATCCAGGGTTTGAAAGCAAAAATTTGCTGAAAAAGATTAAACCCAGCGGTTAAAAGCTAACAAGTTGCTGACAAATCTTAAAACCCAGCAGTTAAGAGCGAAACCGTTTTTCAATAAAAAATATTTTCCATGAAAGCAAAAAGTTGTTTAAAATTTAAACGGTTGAAACTTGAAAGCAGAAGAGTTGCTGAAAATCATTAAAATGTTGACGAAAAAATTATGATTATAGCGGTTGAACAATTTTTAAATTTCAGAAAAAAGTGGCTTCTTATTCTAGACCGCGTAGAATATAGGCTAGATTTCAACCGCTCCCGCTTCGATTGGAAACCCTGCATGTAAAACTTTAATTTGTAACACATATAATTTTCTTCGGACAACAAAGATTGTAAGCAGTGAACAAGCATAACAACTCCAGTAATATTTAACTCTAGAAAATTATTTAAGAAAAATGTTAACATAAAATTTTCTAGAATTTACTTTAAATTATTACCTTATTAAACGGAGAAAATTTGTCTTTTTTCTTTGTCTCTAGTTCCTAGAAAAGAAAAAAATCTTGGAAAAATAAAGAAAACTCAATAAAAAAAGAAAATGAGGTTACAGTGAAAAGGAATTGAGTCTTTGTCACAAACCCTGCTTTTCCAAGTCCCTATATTTTTGCAATCGTATCGTAGACCTGAGATATTTCAAATCATGATTTCTGTTAGATTTATTAATCAAAGTTTGAAATATGAAAGGTTTACACCTTCAGGTTGCGAGTATATAGTGATTAGAAAAATTGAGTTTGTGGCATAGACTCAATTCCTAAGTCTGAAAAAAATCAAGTTTTTGTATTTTACATTAAATTTTTTTCGGATTCATTTTTTAAATGTTCAGACTTTGCAGAATTGTGAGAAATGTTGATAAAGTACCGCAGAAAATCCTGGATTGATGAACGCTGCAGTAGAGTAGGAGGAAAACTCATCTTTTTCAGCAATCACCTGTTCATTTATAAACATTAATCAAAAATATATTTATTTCCAAAGGAACAGTTGTTGCATGAAGCACGTTGCACTTTCAGGTTTTATGATTTTTTTTTGTTCCGTCAATTTAACCATCTCTGGTAGGGTAAAGAAGATATGACACCACCAATCCCTGTGGAAGCCCTTTTTAGAAAATTTCTTTTTTTAATTATAAAAATCTAGTGCATTCAAAAGTCAATAAAGTCAGACTGAACTTAATGAAGCACGTTGCACTTTGAGCATTTTCAGGTTTTATGATATGTTTTTTTTTGTTCCGTCATTTTAACCATCTCTGGTAGGGTAAATAAGATATGACGCCTAAAAAGTGAAATCTCTGTGGAGCCCTTTATAGAAAATTTCTTTTTTTAATTATAAAAATCTAGTGCATTCAAAAGTCAATAAAGTCAGACTGAACTTTTTTATCTTTGGCAATATTTTTGGCAATATATATATATATGTTAAACAGTAAAAAAGGTGTTTTGCAAAAAGAGCTTCACAATTTGGGAACGATTTTATTGTTAAAAATGTAACTAAAAGGAATTGAGTCTTTGCCCCAAACTCTGATTTTCTAATCACTATATCTTTGGAACCAAATGTTGCAGACATTAGATATTTCAAACTATAAAATTCTGTTAGATCAAATAATCTGAGTTTGAAATATCAAAGGTTTACAACATTGAGTTCTAAAGATATTGAGGTTTAAATGTTTGATTTTGTTCCAAATATACAATTCCTTTAGTAGCTGCAGATAAAAAGTTGATTTTGTTCCAAATATACAATTCCTTTAGTAGCTGCAGATAAAAAGTGCACAGTGACATCAGCTTCACAAATAGTTAGGTGAGGTACTACTTAAATATATTAGAGTATTTTGATATTTTCAAAAATTTCTTCAGGTAAAATTAATCGTCGGTCTGGTATTTAAAATAGACCGGAGATACCTTTATATGCTCAATTTCTCCATCAGGTCTTTCCACTGTTATATAGCAAGGAGAATTCCTTTCTAAATATATTAATTCAAGTAATAAAATCTGATTTTTAAAGTAAAATAAAATGATTAGTTGATCTGAACAGATGAAAAAGAAAAATATATTAAAGACAGAAAAATAGATATAATAATAAATAATAGGAAGGTTAAAGGAATGAATATATATAATAATAAATAATAGGAAGGTTAAAGGAATGAATAGATATAATAATAAATAATAGGAAGGTTAAAGGAATGAATATACGGATAAAATAGGGATATATATAGAAATTAATACAGATGAATATATAAGGGCGAAAATATGGATGAATTTAAGAATGAATACAAAAATGAATATATGGATGAATATCGGGATGAGTATATTTATGGATGAATATTTAAGGATGAACATATGGATGACTATATAGATGACTATATTACCTGGACTATCAAATAAACCTTCATCCGTAAAATCTTCTCCTGATTCGTCTGAATCTATTTTCAATCTTTTTTAAAATATATAAACAAACTTGGCTGAAATATTTCGACACAAAAATTGCTTGTGTTTTAAAAACCCCAAAAAGGCGGGAGACAACATCTTAGAAAAGACCTTAGAAAAATGGTGCGGAGTTGAAATGTATATTCATTTTACCCAAATTACACCCTATCAAGAGGGGAGCCAAAAACATTGATTTGCTAATNCTCTAACAGCCAATTTCCCAAATCACGAATATTAGCAATGCTGTGGCCAACCCTGATATTCTGCAAGGCAGGACGGTTCTGGTAAACTTAGCCTCAGAAATGAACAGAAGTGGTTGCTGGTTGCTGCTGAGCGACCAAAAGTTCCTGAGTAGCACAAGAATTCTTTAATATGCCGGTTAGGATTTTACTGCATGGGGAAATTGCTGTGGGGGAAATTAGTGACTGGGGAAGTTAGTGTTGGGGAAATGAGCTTTTCCACAGCTACATGACTAAAACTTTGTTTTTGAAAAGCCTTTAAAAAAGGTTTATTTACATGAGTCACTTGTAAAATCATTTGTCAAATGTTTTTTACATTTTTCCGATTAAAAAATTATAATAAAACTAGAAGGTTGAAAAAAATGTAAAAAGTTAGATTTTTTGGGGTTTGGAAAAATAATAACATATTATAATGTGACATGTTACTAAATGAATTTNAATAATTTTTTTGAATAAAATTAATAAAAAAGAATAAAGGGTGTTGCCCTGACTACCGCAGTTGATAAAACACTAATAATGAATTCATAATATTTCCTACAGGCTACAGGGCTGGCCCGTATAAAACAAGAACTAGAGAAATTTATAGTAAATATATAATTAAAACCTCGTCAAGATTCCTTAAAACACCTTTTTTCAAATTTACACTATTTTCTGAAAAGATTTCAAACCTTTTAAAAAGCAAAAAAATAACAAACCAAACATTGAAATGATTCTATGTTTCTGCAGCCTGATATTTTAGATATCTGAAATATTGAATTCAGATTTGATTTGATTTTGTAGGGAGTGGTCAATTTCCTTTATATGTATAGAATTAATGCTAGATCATTGTTTTTATTTTGCTAATTTAAATTTAAATTTTTGTGTTAAATTGGCTTGAAATTCAGCGTTGCTCTACTTAGACTTTTGAAACAGATTAAGATCATTTCCGTGGTTCTATACCGAGTGTCCCAACCAAAATTAGAGATAAATCGGTCCACGGGTTCATAAGTTATGATCGGATACAGACAAACAGAGATTACTACTTTATACAGATTGTAGATAAGATATTTAATAAATCCCTGTGTTGGTGTCCATGTGTATGCCTGTTCACTCCTGCCGAGTCCATTAGCGCCTGATTCAATCAGGGTTCAGTCATGTGTTTGTTGTCGATTCTGAACCAATAGAAATAGTTTGGCGGTAACATCTATCTTTCTATCTATCTCATTATCCAATTAGAAATATGAATCCTTCTATTGGCACCATCAGTAAATGGAAATATTTACTTCTACCGAAACTATGGTGTGTTTGTTTGATTAAGAAACTTAGTTCATGGTAAAGTTAGGTTTTATATATTTATAAATATACTAAGTTTTTATGGCGCTTCGCGGTCATCTTCTATTTGATAAATTAATTGTGGCTCTATCTGTGACGTGAGCATCAAAAAGTATATACAAAGATATTTTTATCTTTGATTATTTATTTTTACCACCCCTTAGAACCTGAAATGAAACTGCGTCAGTAAAATATTAAAGATGAATTATCAGTTTCTGGTTTTAACAAACTTGTTTTGGAATGTCAACTTAGATTCTCATTTGGATGTTTATTTGACATAATTTATATTATTATTTTTCCTTCCTCTTGTTTTGACCCTACAGATAGTGACATGTCCGATTCATAACAGTACTATTATCACCACGCCACTCTAATTTCAGTAGAAGTAAATATTTCCATTTACTGCTTAGCGCCGATTTAAGGATTCATCTCATAATAACCTGATTTTTAATCAAGAAAAACTAAAAATGTGCAAATTTCCTTTGACAGGTTGTTTGCAAAAAATTTGCTCATTTTTTTTTCGCAAAACTTAAGCAATTCGTTTCCTTATGTAAAAGGCTTTCCAAAAAGCTAAATTTTATCAAAATCTGACAAGTGGAAGTGGGTCAAAACAAAGATTTAGTTTGTTACAGGAAAAAGCAGTCATTCAGGCAGTGTGTAAAACAAATCAAGAGAATCATTTTAAATTGTGAATTCATTGATATCAAACCATTTTGCATTTAAGCACGATTTTATCAACCTATCCACTGATCCAACTCTTAAATACCTTTCTATCATCCCTAGTTGTTGGTTCAAAGAGGTTTTTTTAGACATACAATTTTTGCATTGCGATTCTTTACCGCCTTTTAACCAACATTACCAACCTATGATTCTCGCAAAAAAGGTACGTTACGTTACTGAACTTAACATACCTTAGGACAATAAAGTAAAATAACGCACTTCAAGGTTTTCGTAAAAAAGGTTCGAGCATTTTAATCTCAAAAGGCGTTAAAATTGTTTACTTTTTCCAAAAATATATTTTCTTCAATTCAGGTTCTCAACAGTAACTTGCAAATGTTTTCTACTGGGAAAAGGAATGTGTAGAATTTCAGGAAAGAAAAAGAACGATATCTTATTCATTGCCAACCCTGTGTGTATTGGTGTAAACTGCCCCAAAATCAAAATTTGGGTTATATGTCAACATATCCGTGCGTTTGTGCGTTATCTTTTCTGTTATTTGTGATAA